AGGGAAGACTCTCCAAAGATGGGGGCCAAGGGGTCAGAGGAAGGGCTGAAATGCAGTGTGGCATCAGGGTTGTCGGGAGGTTCGTGAGCCACGGCAAGGGGGCACTGGAAGAGAAGGAGGTGTGTGTGTGTGTGAATGCTTTGAGGGCCCTTAGCCTTGACACAAAATGCAGTGTGGCATCAGGGTCGTCGGGAGGTTCGTGATCCACAGCAAGGGGGCACTGGAAGAGAAGGAGGGGTGTGTGTGTGAATGCTTTGAGGGCCCTTAGCCTTGACACACCATCTTCCGGCTGCCGACTCAACCCCTGACTCAGAGTCTTGAATTGAATAGCATGGAATGATGGCGCACAACTCCGTCTGAACGGCCCTCTTTGTCACTCATATAGGTAAAGGTTCCCCTTGACATTGAGTCCAGTCGTGTTCGCCTCTAGGGGGCGGTGCTCATCCCCGTTTCCAAGCCATAGAGCCAGCGTTTTGTCCAAAGACAATCTTCCGTGGTCACATGGCCAGTGCGACTTAGACACGGAACGCTGTTACCTTCCCACCGAGGTGGTCCCTATTTATCTACTCGCATTTTTACATGCTTTCGAACGGCTAGATTGGCAGGAGCTGGGAGAAGTGACGGGAGCTCCCTCTGTCACGTGGATTTGATCTTACGACTGCTGGTCTTCTGACCTTGCAGCCCAGAGGCTTCTGCCATTTAACCCACAGCGCCACCACGTCACTCATATAGACTTGTGCCCAAATCGTATCTGAAAAGTTTCTTCACCTGTTGCAGTGAATAATTGGGGACATGGTGTCATCTGCCTGCCCACCCACCCCATGACTGGCTCTCCCGAAGGACTCTTCCCAACCTTGTAGGAGAAGCGTTTTGGAAAGAGAAGCTTGTCATGGGGGTGGGTTCTCACTCTGGTGGCCCTGAAGCAGCTTGAGTTAAGATTTCTTGAAATAAAACCCACGGGAAGTTCACAGTTTCTGGATGGAATTGCTATTAGAAAGCGCTGTCTGTGTTGGGGCCCCTTGTACCTCCATCATCACATCCTCTTTCCTTTCCCTTATGTGAATTCAGAATGTCTCAGTACTTTGGTAGTTGCTTGTGAGTGTGTTGCTTTCAAGAAAGAATGTTTGATGGTGTGGTCGTACAGAATGGCCCCAGGTTCACCGGGGGGGAGCTGTGCCGAGCTCTCGTCCTTGCGTTCTCAGGACCTGCAAAACTGAGAAATGGCTTGAGAGCCTTCATGCACAAGGCAGGAGGGAAGGAGGGAGGTATATTTGGGCTGGGGAAAAGAAGATTAAGGCTCCCTTCTATGCATGCTTGCTCCCAAGTTAACCCTATTGCAACCAGAGGGACTTAACAACATGCAAATCTGGGTACAGTCAGGCTGCATATGTGTGTGTCTGTGTGTGTACGGACACGCCTGTGCATGCAGCTGCATAGCATCCCACAAGGGGCGCTTGATGTAATGCCTCTTTTGTAAAGATCGTCTGACAAGCGTGGAATAGTAGGGGGACAAGGCCAGGCCAAGGAATTGGCCCCATAGCGTGGGTCACTTACCCACCTTGCCCTGCTGCTTTGAGGACTACAGCAAGCTTAGACTTCAAATTGTGGGGGGGGAGGGGGGAAGAAGCCTTGGAGTTGGCAGGGGGAAATTGTAGCCCCTGCTAAGAAGTAAATAATAAATAAATTCCGAAGACTCCTGTCTTTGAGCGTCCTGGTTCCACTCTAACCCTGGCCGCTTGGCCACCCGATGCTTTATGTGGCCCTTATTGTGTTTGGGCGTCAAAGGTGGGGTGGGGCTAGGGTCCCAGTAGACCCTCGGGTGGCGTCCTTGTTGGAACCAAGGGGTTCTCTTTTTGATCCCTGGCATAAGAAGGTGAAGCTCCTCCTTTAGTCCATGGCGGGAGGATGGGGGGGCAAGGAGGGAAAAGGTGTTGATTTCTCACCAAGTGGTCTGATTTTTTCACTGACACATCCTTGAGGACTTTTCTGGCACCCTACATCATTATTTTCCTTCCAGCAGAACCTGCAGAAACGACGGTATTGTTCCTTACGCTGCCACCACCACCACCAAGCCGTACAGCGTTGGAAGTCTCTGAGCCCATAAGCTCATCGGATTTGAGGGCTGTAAAAGCCAGGTTTCCCCGTGTGTTTCGTCTGGATCAGCTGATGTGATCTCTTTGTTTATAACTCTTTCAACCTTTCCCCCCTCCCTTGCTCCCCGCCCAGAAAAGGATTGGCTGGAAAGGATTTTAAGGAATAAAAGGACAGACTTGCTCCTTGTGGCCGGTTCTTCCCTTGTGTTTCTTTTCTTCCAAAAGGGCTGAGTCACAGTCTGCTGATGGCTGGCGGGGTGGCAGCCGTCCATAAGGAAGTGGTGCCTCCGTTGCTGGTTCTTATCTTAGGAGAAGAGGAGTGTGTGTGTGTGTGTGTGTTGTTGCTGGTTCTTATCTTAGGAGAAGAGGTGTGTGTGTTTGTGTGTGTGTGTGGGAGAACCGATGAACGGGAACAGCAGGGATGATGCGGGAGAAGAGACGGGGAATTGGTTAGTGAAGAAACCAAACGGAAGTGAGCGTCCTACGGGGTGGTGGCAATCTCAGAGAGACACAACATGGGATTTTAAGCCGGTTGGCTAGACCTCAGTCTGTCCCTAAGATCTTTTATCTGCTACTTTGGATACGCTGCGAGATCCAGGCCCGAGGGCTTCATCATAAACCCACATTTCCGGGAGATCTCTAGATGCCCTGTTTGTGTCATTCCTGGTTTGCTTCTTTCCACGTGTGGAATGGAAGGGTAACAGATGCCCCCCCCCTGCAGCAGGTGCGTCCTTTGAGATGGCCTGATGGTGGACACGCAGAGGTGATGGGGGGCAGGGGACCCCATCCTGCGGATTACCTTTTGCAGTCCTCTTGATAAGCCGTTTTACTGGCTGGTGGCCAGCTTGGATGCTCAGTATCGGGTGGTCATTGAAATAGGCTTTTCTTTAATCCCAAAGCAGCTGTCCGGGAGGCGGGGCGTGCAAGATGGCCACAGACAGGTAGCCTGCAGCCTGTGTGTGTTAGGGAGGCAGGGGTGTGTGTGCTAGTGATCTGTCTGCTTTCAGAATCTCAGATTTTGGTGGGCATCTCCCAGCAGGGAAGGCTGTTTTGCTTTGGCTCAGCCATTTGACAAGCCGAAAATGGTGGCTGCCGGACGATGGCCTTTTCTCACAGAAGATGAGCAGAAGGGAGCGCCCCAGCTGTGTGTAGCGCAAGGGTGGCAGAGCGGATCTCGTGTTGGGCTAGAACTCAGGGTTCAGATTCTCATTGGGCCATAAAACTCATTGGGTGTCACCCTCTTGCAGCCTGGCCCTGCCGCGCAGGTTTTGTCAGGACAGAGCGAGACAAGGAGAGTCGTGCCCACGGCTTTGAGCTCATTAAAGTAAAGACTGGATATAAACCTGCTAAACAAATGGTGGTGTGTTGTTTTTGCACATAGCCTTCTGACTCCCAGCTGTTCCAACCAGCCCTTCCAATGCACGAGCGGACAGGTGTCGCGGCCCCTAGAGGTGGGCACGGAGTGCCGGTTCGGTGGGCCGTGTTGGCTCCTCCTTTGGACGAACCGGTGTTCAGTGCTTCTCACCCTTGCCTCTTTTCTCCCGTTTTCTGATACCAGGAAAACTCTGCAACCAACTCCTGGTGGAGCTGCCTCTGGCCCCCTCCTTCAGGCTCCTGAAAACATTGTGTTTTAGAGAGGCTTTTCACTGTAGTCTTGCCTATCCCCCTCCCCTCCAAATATACTTCACATTCAGTGTTTAATTTACGCGTCTTGGAGCTTTGTCTGTATGTTTTATTTTAATTTTATTGGTCGCTGATGGCTGGCGAGAGGGCAGCAGTCCATAAGGAATCGCTCTGTTTGGATCATGTTGTAAACCTCCCTAAATGGTGCCTTGCCCTAAAGGGGCTGCATATAAATTCAAGAAAGAAAGAAAGAAAGAAAGAAAGAAAGAAAGAAAGAAAGAAAGAAAGAAAGAAAGAAAGAAAGAAAGAAAGGAAGGAAGGAAGGAAGGAAGGAAGGAAAGAAAGGAAAGAAAGAAAGAAAAGGGTGTCAAGTGGGTTGGTGTCTTCTCCAGGCTCCGGCCTGGCCGCTGTGAGCGAAGAAGGTGGCCTTCCTAGCCCAGTTTGTGCCTCTGGGGCATCTTGACAAGAAAGGGGGAACGTTCTCGGGGAGCCGCCAGAAGGGTGAAGGGCCTGGCAAGACAAAGACCCGCCAGACCGAACGTCCGGAGGACTTAGCCATCAGTGGAGGGTTTGCGCGTCTTGTCGGATGAAAGACTTTGACCACAGAGGGTGGCAGAAACGTTCATGGTACCTGCAGGTCATAAAGACTGGAAATGGGGAGCCTAATGACCGGATGTGTTTCCTAACACTTCTCTGTGGCCAGATTCTTGGAGCAGGCCTTCTGGATGGCTTTTGGATCACGCACGGGCCCTACACATGAAGAGCAGGACCCTGTTCAGGAGCTGAATTCCTCGTACGGTGCCATTAGATTTGACCGGGCTTTCTCATGCCTCGGACAGGCCCTTCTTCTGTCCAGAGGGCCGAAAAGGGCTGTCTGGGCAGAGGGGGGCGTGCGGCATGTCTGGGCCCCCAAGGGGAACCACTGTTTTGCTGCATTGGTGGCTTCTGGCCCATCCACAGGAATAGAGCTGTCTAGATTTCATTTTTGAAACCACATGTGGGAGGCTCTTTGTGGGGAGGATGCTAGCATTAGGGTCTGGGGGTTGCTTCTGAGAGGTTAAAAGACCAGTTGAATGACACAGGAGTCATTTTCTCAGGCTAGAGTGAGGGGAAGAGAGTGTGTACGTATCCCAAACTTTGAGGCGAGTCTTTCTCTTCCCTTCTCTGATTGCAGAAACATCAGCCTGTCTTGGACGTCAGGCCCGGACATTTCCTGTTCCGCGCAAGAATCTCCGCAGAGGTGTGGTTTTAACGTTTTGTCGTTTTTCTCCCCTCCTCAGTTTGTCCTGAAGAATTATGGTGAGAACCCTGAGAATTACAACGAAGAGTTGAAGAAGCTGGAGCAGCTCCGGCAGGTGAGGGCAGCCGTGAGTCTTTCTGAGGGTGGAAGCGGGATTGGGCTGGAAGCGAGGGGGCCCTGCTGGCCAGGCCCTGTGATGTGTGTTGGGGAATCGTGGGGTCCCCGGGCCAGAGCTGGGTTTTTCCCCCCTCGTTCCCTGCTGAGAGGGAGAATCTACAAACGTATTTGATTTTTCCCCGCCAAAGAGTGAGAGAAATGTGTCGCTGAACAGTATATGTGGGAGTGAGTGGTTGATGGGAGCCGTCACAGGGCCCTGGCCCAGGAACGTTGTCTCTTCGACCTCTCGGGGTCGTCCTGCCTTGTGTTGTGGAGCGTGGCGGCGCTCGGCCATTGCCTGTGCCTTCATGGAGTTGGAAGGGGGCCTCTGAGGCCATCCAGTCCAACCCCCCTGCTCAAGGCAGGAATCCAAATTAAAGCAGATGCTGACACAGGGTTGTCTAAATTTCTCTTGAGTGTCTCCAGCATTTGAGGGTGTTACATACAGCACTGATGTTACCTGTCTGTCATGGGTTTGGAGGGAAAGTTCCATCCTATGGGGAGTGGAAGGCGGGACATCAGGAGGAGGGGCTGTACTGTATAAATATATGAGATGCTGAGAGACACTGGGTTGTGACGAAGCAGCAGCTGGGAAGAAGAAGTTGTTGTGGGAGTCTGTGTGTCAGACAGGGTACTTCTGTGTGTCAGAGTACCAACCTGATAGGTTCAGGTGTCTGTTGGTTAGCCAGAACTGATAGGTTCAGGGTCTGTGCTTCAAGTTAAGGGTTCTGGGTGAACCAAACTGTATGCTTGTATGAGTGTGAATAAGCCACGTTACTTTACCTATTCACCTAATTGTTTATTTTTCCCTGTGTGTATTTAAATAAACCTTATTCTTTTTATTTGTTAAAAATCCATCCCTGGTCTGTGTGACTTCTTAAAGGGAATGGTTGGTGGCAGCTTAGTGTAACTGTGTGGCAGATCCCAGTAGGTCTGGGTTTGTCACAGAGGGCCCAACACCTCCCCCCCGAAGTCATGGTTTCCACTGTTGTGCTGCTCTAACAGTTAAGATATTTTTTTCCTGATATTCAGCCTGAATTCGGCTTCCTGTCGCTTGAGCCTATTATGACATTTCCTGCACTTTGGGATGATCGAGAACAGATCCTGCCCCTCCTCTGGATGACTACCTTTCAAGTCTTTGAAAAGTGCTGTCATCTCTCTAAACATGCCCAGTTCTTTCAATCGTTCGTCATAAGGCTTAGTTCCCCTGATCATCCTTTTTCTCCTCCTCTTAATGTGTTCCAATTTGTCAGCATCCTTCTTCCAGTGCGGTGTCCAGAACCATACACAGGACTCCAGATGAGGCCTGGTTTAAAGCTGGCCAGGGTGTGTGCGTGCGTGTGTGTGTGTGTTCCTTTCTCTCCCACCCCAGAATCAACTGCCCTCCCCGACCCATCCTCCTGCTGCTTTCTTGACTCTTCCAGAATGCCGTGAACGTGCCCAGGGACTTTGAAGGGTGCAGCATCTTGCGGAAATACTTTGGCCAACTCCACTACCTCCAGAGCCGCATCCCCATGGGGACCGAGCAGGAGGCGGCCATCCCCATCACCTGGTAAGGGAGCTGTGGGTCGAGGTGGGGGGCAGAGCTTACTCCTCCACCCCAAACCCCCTTTTGGCTGGTCCATGTGTGGGGAGCCTTTCTTGGTCAGAACGTTTATGCTGCTGCTGCTGCTGCTGCTGTTGAGTCACTCTGTCAAGCACAAGCCTGAGAGCTTGGGAAAGTTCTTTTTTTGTTACTACAATTCCCAGAATCCTCCGTTTTCTAACCACCTATAGGCCTTGGAACCTCTCTTGTGTCTCCTATCGCCACAATAGCTAGGGGATCGTAAGAACCATCGTCCCCAAAATACTTTTGCCAAGCCTTGGAGGAAATGGATCCTTTGCCCAGAGAAAACTTGTGTGAGGCATTGGAAGGCTGGAGTGTGGGGGGGGACGGGGACAACAGGAATGGCAGCAGGCATCATCCAGTTGCCAAGGGGGTGAGGGATAAGGAACAGGAAACGTCCATTTTGCGGGTAACAGAAAACTGGAGAAAATTGGATGGCCGTGGTCTGGGAGACGGTTGTGAAGGGGGAGAGGGAGCTTTCTGAGAAGAGGCCAAGAAGGTTATTCGGAATCAGGAAAAGGGCAAAACAGCCATCGGAGGGACCTGAGTCGGCAGGGGTTATGGCGAGGGCCTCAAAGGGAGGGCAGGGCTCTGTGGGACGGAAGTGCAGAGGTTTCCGACATGGATGCTTTTAGTAGCCGTGGTGCGGGAGAAGCAGGCAACCTCCCTCTGTGATCTGCTGCTACCTGACCGTCTGCGGTCGCAGGCTCTGGAAAAGCAGGAAACCCTCTGTGGCTCTGTGGGCTGCTCCTTCAGCAGAGACGGCTGTATGCCTCGATGCCACCAGAGTAGTTGAAGCTCCCTGTTCCTCAAGCCCTCTTCCTGAGTCAGGTGGTTCTTGGAATAGGAATCTCGTCCATGGCGCGGCAGAGCTTTTCCTTGGAAAAGGTGGGGGTGGGTATTTGAGCACATCCTGGCCGGCCCCTGTAACTTCTCTCTCTCTCTCTCTCTCCAGGACCGAGATCTTCTCTGGCAAAGCAGTTACTCATGAGGACATCAAGTACGAGCAGGCCTGCATCCTCTATAATCTGGGTAAGGACCTTGTTTAATCATCATCTTGGAACGGCAGAACTGGAAACGGACCCTTCGGATCCTGGAGTCCAGCCCCTGCCAAGGAGGCCTGGTGGCGGAATCGAATTCCCCACTTCTGGCTCCTCAGTCACAGGCCTCCTAAACCACGGGGCCCCCCCACAGGTGTCTCGGCTTCAGCATCCAAGAGTGACTTTGTTTCTGGAGCGGTTGGGGGCAAAGCGGGGCACCAGAGGACGCTTCGATGGCTTCTCAGGCCTTCCTGAAGTCTTCCACTGTGCAAACAAACAAGCAAATAAAAGCGGGGTTTTACAAGAAAAAGGGGCTGGTTCTGCTCCTTAGGTAGGAAGACCTTTCAGTCCTTGAAAGGTTCTCGGGTGTTGGTTTTGACCTGTTTTTCTTGCTCTTGCAGCCAGTTTTAGTTGGGATGAGGTCAGTATTGGCATGCCAAGGATGAAAGTTGGCCCTTGCCCCCCCACGTTGGCCCTTGCCCCCCCCCAAGGCCTGCCTGGCCGGCATGGACAACAGAGCCAGCAGCAGGAGCGCGTCTCGGCCGTGACGCTCCCAGGGTGGCCTTCTCTACCTTTGTTCAGCGGGGGCTGCTGGTCTCCAGACAGCGATTTGGCCACACCAGATCTGCCTTTGGGTCAGTGGGACCCGGCGGCCCCTGCCTCTTTGAAATCAGAGTGGTGGACACAATGCGTGGCCCTCTTCGCTCCTGCCCCAGGAGATTCCTGACCCAGGTGGGTTCGGGTCCGGTTGCGTGGTTGAACACCAGTCTGCCGGTCTGCCTCCAGAGCAGGCGCAGGACGCGAGAGAGGACGCTTGACGGGAGATCTTGTTTGTGCTTAAACCCACCTTGGGGGGGGGGTCTGAGGGCAGGCCTTGGTAGCTGGCATCCTTTCTACTCTCCTGGCGTTGTGGATTGCCATTCGGGGCCTTTGGTGAGGAAGGGCTGAGAGCCGTGCCTTTGCGAAGGAAGCCTTTTCTGTCCCCGCCAGGGTGGGGGTGGGGTGGGGGAACGAGGCCAGGTTTTTGCCTGACCGGATGGATCCCCTCTGGATTCCGTCCCATAATGGCGGACTCGCCCCCTCTGGGTGAACCCCTTCTCTGGTGGAAAAAAGGAGGGTGCAGCAAACAGGAGCTTCCTGTGGCTTCAAAGAGAAGAGGCCAGAACTCACTAGGGCTGTTTCGGGAGAAATGTAAAACCTCGGGTCTCTGCCAAGGAGACCCGTTCCTTTGTCTGAAGCCTCCCCCCCCCTCCATTCCATCCCCAAACCAACATGCAGACAGACAGGGCACTCAAGGTCCCTCTCCCCCCCCCGACTCATTTCTACCCTCCCTCCCGATTCCCTTCCCTTGATCAAGAGGGGGAAAGGGTCTTCTTGCAAGGAGGTGCATGGGTGGGTCGGGTTTTTTTTACCCCTTTTTCTTGAGTTTGACTGAGGCTTCCATGCCTGATGGACTTCTTCCTGTCTCTTGGGCTTGGAGGGCTGGAGCAGCTTTGAAATCAGGTCCGAAAAAGCCCCGATCCATCCCTAATTCCAGCTGCCCAGGGGGTGCAGTTTCTCAGAGGGAGGAGTCAGGCGGAAGGTTCTTGTTTTGCTGCTGAGTCGATTCCATGGAGGGAAAAAGCTAGCTTTGCTGTTGCTGCTGAATCTCCTCCCTGGCTGCCATAGGGAGGCAGGGGACTTCCCTCCAGGGTGTGGAGGGCAGGGATGGATCAGGGCCTTTTCTGCCTCCCAAGAGACTGAAGTCTGCCCAGCTAGAGAAATTCTGATATCTGCGCCACATGTGGGTTGCAGTGCCAGAGTGTCCATTCAAAGCCTCATAGAGTGGGGGGGCGTGCTGCTGTTTTAAGACTCTGCAGGGCAGCGCCTTCTGTTCCCTCCCCATCGTAGTCTGTGCGTTTGCATGCCTTGTTCTTTCTTCTCCCCCCCCCCTTGCAGGTGCCTTGCATTCCATGCTTGGAGCAATGGACAAAAGGGTGTCTGAGGAGGTAAGGCTCGGGGGTTTTCCTTTCTGCCTTCTCTTAGAGGGGTGGCATCTCCAGGGAGCCCTGTGGTGGTTCTTGCTTTAAAAAAAATCATGCAGGTGAAAGAAGATTCGCTCCCCTTCCTGGCCCGTATTGTTCATCGAGCTAAGATGGCAGCCAGAAGGGAGGAGAGGGTGAGAAAAGGAGCCGACCGAGGAACCAGGGAGGCTGAAGAGGGTGGGTTTGGGTAGCTCGCGGCAGGGCTCACGGGAGAGTCAGCTTTGGGTTCCCGAAGCCCTGGAGCAGAGATGAGCGTTCCGGAGATGCCGGCTGGGGGCCTGTGAACGTGGTCCTCGTGCTGTTTCCCTGAGTCTGGCCTGCGGGGAGTTGGGCCCTGGTGTAAGCACGCAACAGCAGCCTTCGCCTTGTCCGCAGAGGTCAGAAAGCGCTTTGCCTTGTTCAGACCGTGCTCCAAGAGGCCGTCTCTAAATCGCCGTCCGCCGCACCTTGGCTTCTGGAGTTCTCGTGACTTTCTGAGCCTGCCGTCACCTGGTGGACGGCCTGCCCAGGGTTTTGACTCCCCTCCCTCTGCCTTCACACACACACACACACACACACACACCCAAATCCTCCTCCCTCAGGCTTTTGGGGCTTGACTGGCCTCAGCAGGAGCTGTGGGTCGCATTTGGGATGGGGCTGGGCTGGGCTTGTGGGGGGAAGAGACTTCTGGAGACACCGGACAGGAGCCGTCCCTCTCGGCATCTCCTCCGCTTTTATGGGCGGAAAACGTCCCCGAGGTCTCCGGAGACATTTCCATGGATTGAGCCGCCACCTCCCTCCTTCCACAGGGCATGAAGGTCTCCTGCACCCATTTCCAGTGCGCGGCTGGCGCGTTCACATACCTCCGAGACCACTTCCCTCATTCCTACAGCGTCGATATGAGCCACCAGATCCTTAACCTCAACATCAACCTCATGTTGGTAAGGACGGGCAGGAGGTTCACAGCCCACTCCTTGGAAAGGGCTGTCGGGTGCGCACCCATGCGCGTGTGTGCAGGGCCTGTTGAGGGACCCTGTTTTTGGACACACCTCCATCCTGCCACTTTGGCAAGGGCCCAGTGATCGGGTGATGGGAAGGGCCTTCTCTTTGCGCGCTGCACAGCGGGAGAGCCACCCACGGCCAACCAAGAGAGAAGCATAGATGGCCTGATCCGGTCCCAGTTCAGCCCGTGTTCCACGGGTAGCTGGAACTGGCTGCTGAGCAGATGGCGGTCCTTCCTTTATCGCAGCTCTGATGGCTTATTCCGTCCGCTGGGGAACAGGAGGTCTGCGGGCTTCCAGTTCATGCAGAACGCCTAGCCTCCCGTTGCAGAAGAAAGCGGGCCCGGATGCGCCTCTCCTCTTTCTGGAGGGACCACGAGATGCGTGTCAAACTTGGAGCAAGCAGCTGTACTGCGGTGGAAACCACGCCGTCTTGTGGCCCTTCTGGTGGCCCAAAGCTACGTGGCAGCTGCTCTCTTTAGGATGGCTCTGTTCTCCCTCCGGAATCAGAAGGAAGGGGCTTCGGAGACCCATTGCGGAGCGAGGCCGCTGACAAGGGTGCTGTGGCCCTCCCCCTCTGCTTGTGGACATCCCAGCTGAGCGGGCCCTGCAGGGGGCACAGGACAGGCTGGGCCGGAGGCCTTTGGCCTGATATCCCGCTTCGAGTTTTTGTGCTTCTTCTGGCAGAGGGACCGAGCGGAGGACTCTCGAGGACTCCTTTTTTTGTCTTGGCCGCCTTCGAGGCAGGTTTTTGTTGACAGGGGCCTTTCCTTTTTGTTCCCCGAAGGGCCAAGCCCAGGAGTGCCTCCTCGAGAAGTCGATGCTGGACAACCGGAAGAGCTTTCTTGTTGCCAGAATCAGTGCCCAGGTGAGCTGTTTCCACCCAGCCTGCCACCTGGAGGTGGGGCCGGCCAAGAAGCCGCCTGCTCCCAGAGAACCGAGCCTCTCCCTGACCCTGGACGGGGCTCGAGGGACGGAGCCCCCTCCTCTCGGGCGGTGCATGGGAGAGACCCTTGCCTCCTTTCCCCTCTCCCCACACGGCCGTCACCCACCCATGCCTTGGCCCATGCCTTTCTCTCATCTTCCTCCCCCCAAGGTGGTGGATTACTATAAAGAAGCGTGCCGAGCCTTGGAGAACTCGGAAACCGCTTCGCTGCTGGGCAAGATCCAGAAGGACTGGAAGAAGCTGGTGCAGATGAAGATCTACTATTTTGCCGCGGTGGCCCATGTGAGTGTTGGGGCGAAGAGGGGGGGGCAGCCCCTGGCCCCAGCCTTGCCCGTGTCCCCTTGCTGTGCTGTGCTAGATGTGTGCATTGCGGGGAAAGAGAATGAAGTTGCCCATCCTCTCCCAGGCCACAGCTTGAGGCTCCCCCTGTACCACTCCCATCCTACCACTCCCTGCTTGCAGGGTTCTGGGAGTTGTAGTCTCACCCTGTGGTTCTCCAACCGGGGTCCCCAGAGGTTCTTGGACTGCCGTTCCCAGAAGCCTTCACCCCTGGCTGGGCTGGCCAGGATTTCTGGGCGTTGCCGTCCCAGAACCTCCGGGGACCCCAGTTGGAATATCATTCTAACCCATCTGTAGAGAGGAGGAAGAGAGTGAGAAAGG